TTAGCTGCCTCCTTCTTCTTCGGACAGTCTTTCAAAATGTGCCCCTCTTCATTACAACCAAAACACATCCTTTTGTTGTTCGGACATTCATTGGCAAAATGTCCAACCTTTCCACACTTGTAGCAGGTCACATCCTCGCTACATTTCCCAAAGTGCTTTTTCTTACACTTATCACACCACTTCGCTTCTCCCCCTTTTCCCCCACCAAACCTTTTCGAATCAGATTTCGAAAATTTACTTTTCTTACCGGAACCAGATGTTCCCTCAAGCTTCCTCTTCTCACCAACCTCACCTTGTTGGTGGTTCTCCCCTTTATCATGTTCTCCACAGACTTGGCAGCCAGATAGCTGCCTCTAAAGTATGTGCCTGACGTACTGGCACCTCGTACTCCCATGGAAGTCCCTTCGCATACCGATCCACCTTAGTCAGCTCGTCTGGAACGATACGCAAGGCAAACTCCATATTATCGATGAAGTTATTGGTGTATTCATCAACTGACATACTGCCTTTCGTTAGTGTCAGAAACTTGTTCTCTAGCTCCAATAGATTTTGAGCCAAGCAGAACTTGCGTTTGAACTGTACCAAGAATTCTGCCCAAGACAATTGCAATGGCTCATTAGGGCTCAAAGTCTTCCCTAGAGTGTTCCACCAACGAACGGCTCCACCTCGGAACTGTCGCACAGCATAGATAGTTTGTATCTTACCTATGCAGCCACACGTCATGAAGGCTAGCTCCATTTCGGAGATCCAATTCATAACCCCAATCGGATCCTCCTTTCCATTAAAGGTCGATGGTTTGCAAGTTAGAAAGTCCTTGCACTTGCATCCCATTCCATCATTCCTTCCATCGCGGTTATCTTGCCTAACTATCGGTGGGTTGGCTGGACCAACAGACCCACTAAAGTTTCCACCTTCCGAGTGCCCTTCATTTAATTCAGGCTCTTCCACACGAATTGACAGTTCTTGTAACGACCCGTTCCCGGTATGTTAATTCATTAGTAATTGTTTTAAAGTTTTGCAAGAGGGACTCGGCGAGTTCATAGCCTGACTCGCCGAGTAGGGTCGCGACTTCGAGCACGTGTTAGCTAGTGACTCGGCGAGTCCATATCCCGGACTCGGCGAGTCCGTCCGTCTGGGTGAAACCCTAAATCCCCGGGTTGCCCACTATTTAAGTCACCTTATAGCCCCCATTCTCGCCTCCTTCACCCTCTAAAGCTGTGAGAAAACCCTAGTTCATCCTTGAGAGTTTGTAAGTGATTTTGTGTGATTTTGTGAAGGCTTGAAGAAGGAGAAGAAGAAAGGAGCAAGGAGAAGAGGTGGAGTGCCAAGATCCAAGGGCAAATCTGAGTTATTTGAGGTATTTTCGGATTTCCCCTTGTTTTATGCTTTAAACCTCCATTAGAACTCTTCTAAGATCTAGTTGATGCTTGTTCCAAGCCTTATGATTGCATGAATGCCCTAACAAGCCGAGATATCCTTAGATCTATTCATTGAGAAGTCCCATAGTCCAGATCTATTGCCTTTATGGGATACTTTGCATATTAACCCTAGATCTATCCCTTTTATGCATCTTTTAGCCTTATTTTCCCTTATTCATGTGTTGTACACGTAAAGTTGGAAACTTTACGTGGTAAACCAGCTTATTGGACTCAGATCTATCATTTGTATGTGTTGGATTCAAGCAAAATCGGTGAAAAACAGTTGCATGGCGGCAACTCGGCGAGTCGGGAAGAACGACTCGGCGAGTTGAGTCGCGAGTCCCCGATTCCTTCATTTTTAGCAGTGTCGAGTGGAACCAGTGAGTTAGAGAGTGGACTCAGCGAGTTGAAGGTAGACTCAGTAATGGAGGGACTCGGCGAGTTGTTCATACAACTCGGCGAGTCCAAGGCAATCTTCTTAAGATCAAGAACAACTCGTCGAGTAGTTCATACGGCTCGGCGAGTCGGATGAAGATTGTCTGAGTTCTTGGATCAAGAGGGTACTCGTCGAGTCGATGCCATACTCGACGAGTAGCAGCGAGTAGGATTGAAAAGTGAGAGTAGGACTCGGCGAGTTGGGTGGCCCAACTCGGCGAGTCAGTCCAAATGAGAGTAACTTTGACCAAGGGTAAAAGAGTCATTTTACCCAAGTGCAGTGTTTAGTATTTGATTGAGTGTGTTTATGGACTTGTAGCCGGGGAGATACAGGAGCAGCAGCCGTTAGCTTCCAGAGCCACACACTCAGCAGCCAGTTTACGAGGTGAGTTTCCTTCCAGTAGGGACGGGTCTAAGGCCACAATGCCGGCCCGTTCAGTTAGCAGTAGTTTCCGGACTTTGATCCGATGCAGTAGCTAGTATGTTTGATGCCTTCGTGGCTCAGACAGGATTTGTGTGCTATGTTTTATGTGTTATGTATTATGTGTTCCGGGCTACGGCCCGATGTAGTATGCAGTATATGTGTTCATGCTAGTTGTTATGTTATGCTACGCTATGCTCAGTCAGTTAGTTCCGGACTTCAGTCCGATGCAGGGGACAAGGTCCCAGTCGGTTCCGGACTTTGGTCCGATGCAGTTAGTTCCGGACTTCGGTCCGATGCAGATAGTTCCGGACTTTGGTCCGATGCAGGGGACAAGGTCCCAGTCAGTTCCGGACTTCGGTCCGATGCAGTTGCTGGGCTTCGTCCCGATGCAGTGGGCAAGGCCCAATATGTGTTTATATGTTATTGTATGGTATGTGGTAGTTTGGGGGAGCTCACTAAGCTTCGTGCTTACAGTTTCAGTTTTGGTTTCAGGTACTTCCGCAAGCAAAGGGAAGAGCTCGGGGTGACGGCATCGCACACACCACAGCTTTAGCTTTTAGCCTGGGATTGATTTAGTTTGTTTTGATTTG